TTTGGGGTTAAAGGCGTGAATATAGGGATCTACAAATTGGTAGTTACACAAAGTATTATAGTCTTTAATACTTTGTGTAACTACCAATTCACAGATCTTTATATTCACGCTTTTAACACCAAATATTTTGAGATCCGCCAGCCAAATTTAATGATTTAATTACTATTAGAACCAGAAAAAACTTTACTTAGAAGCCCAACAAACCCTAACTTAAAAAATTAGTTTTTTAAATTTGATTAGTTATTAAAAATAGAAATTTTTGTGTAATTATTGTAGAAATAGCAATTTCTGTTGTAGAAATAGTAACTCTTTATATATATTATATGTCACGGATTATCGTGAAATCAAATTATCGTGAAATTTGGATCTATTTTATGTATGATTTTTAAAAATTTTTAGAGCCTTTTTTGTAGGCTTTTTTTTTATAGTTAAGTTAGGATTTAGGGTTAGAATTATTAACAAAAGAGTATAGGTAAATTTTACAAGATTAATGATATAAAGATCAACTCAAAAAAGTCTGAACTGCTAGTTATTAAGCTAGAAAAAGAATATAAGAAGAACTTTGTAAAAATTAATTTTAGCCCTAACAGAGAAATAGTAACAAAAAAAAAAAATAATAATTTAAAAAGATTTCTAGATATATAGTTAGTAATCAAGAATAGAAGCAAGCAAATAGAAGATATTATTAAGAATGAAGTATACATGGTTACAAAATGAATTAGCAAAAAGAAGGTCTCTTTAGTACATATAATATATATTAATAATCTAGTTTTTTTACCAAGAATAGAATTCAAAACATAGTTAAAAATCTTGTCAAAATAACAATATAACCAGCTACAAAACTCTATAATAAAGATACTTAAAAACAAGACTAGAATAGCAAATACTATACCAAATTCACTAGTAACTCACAAAAAAATAGTAGAACTGCAATTGATCTGGTAACGACAAATTATATATCACTTTACAGAATTACTAATATAGCTGAATAACAAACAAGAAGTAGAAGAAACTACATGGTTATAGCTAAAGAAAGTTTAAATTAATTTAAAAAGCTGCAAATATGTGCTAGAACTAAATATAAAAAACCTAAATAGATCTAAACTACAGAACAATCTGAATATACAAATACTAAAAGAAATAAAAAACTAGAAGTCTTATATCAGTCAAAGGAAATCAAGAAGAGTTTTAGACTAGCAGAAAAAGGAATCGAGATTACAGATATATTAACAAGAGCAGATAAACAAAAATTCTTCTAATACAAAAACTATAATAATTTTATACTAGAATAGCTACTCAACCAAAGTGATACAAAAATAATAACTTGAAAACAAATAAAAATATATAGAAAAACAAGAATAGAAGAAAAGAAAACAAAATAGTTCCAGAGACTAGAAAATAAAATAATCAAGCATACAAAAACAAGAAAAGTTAAAAGAAAATATCAGAAAAAAGAAAGAAACAGTATGAGCCTAAGAGCAATCTTATCTGAAATCAAAACAGATAAAAGACTCAAAAAATAGATCTTGCTTGAAGAAGGAAAAAATATCCTTAAAGTCAGAAGAATTATAAAAAAATATAGCAAAAAAAAAAAACTTTCAACATAGAATACTAGATAAAAGTAGAAAACAATAAGGATAATTAAATCAAAATTTGACCATATAAAAGCTGCTTCAGAAATAAAGATAAAGAAAAATTTATACAATGCTCTTTTACAAGAAAATTTTAAAACAATAAAAGAGTATTAAGAAAAGATTAGATCAAGTATTCAATATTTAACCACAAAAAAATTAAAATCAAACTTAAACCAAAAATACTAAGTTGAAAAAAAGCAACCAAAGAAGAGTAAAAAGATTTGAGATGCAACTAAAAAGTACAAAATGAGATCAGAATAGAAATGCTATCTAAAAAACTAATCAGAAATCAGGTAAAAGAAAAAAAGAGACAAGAAAACCTCATAGCAATTGCTCAAGAACTACAAAATATGAAAAAAGTTGATTTTTATATAGATAGGTCACTATATAAAAAAAAAGCATCTCAAAAAACACAAATAGGTACTGGCTAGATAGTGATTGCAAGATACAAAGAAGAAAATGAAGAAGAGAAAGCAAGATTTAACTGCATACTTGAAGAATGATCATTCTTAACAAGAGCAGAACTAGAAGCTATTTGAATAGTATCACTAGTAGTACTAAAAAATATAAAGATAACAATATACACAGATCATCTTGTTTCTATATAGACTTTTAAAAACAAAAATAATATAGCAAGCCTTATTCAGCAAACTCAAAGAATATAGAAAATGAAAAATCTCAGAGTGTAGCTAAAAAAAGTCAAAGAGCATAGTAAAAACATACATAACAAAATTGCAAATAAGCTAGTAAAAAAAAAAACAAAAAAACAAAAAACAATAACAACAAAGTAGCTATGATCAAAGAGATCATATATAATAGCAAGGTAAAGAGATATTACGATAGATAGTCCAATAAAAGAAGTTGTAAACAAACTAGCTTTAGCTACTTTAGATACAGAATAGACAAATTTAGATAAAAATATTAGATAGATCAATAGAAGTAAAGAGAAGAAATTAAATTAGTAAAAATATATAGATAGATTAATAAAAATAAGAAAAGAAATTGTACAAGTAAAAAAAAAACAAAAGGTAGACTTTTCAAATCAAATATCTAGATGAGCTACTGTTAATATTAACAGAACTAAATACAAAAAAACCAAAGATATATAAAATAAACACTTGTATAGTTTGCAAAGAGAAGACAAAAAATTTAAATTATCTTGTCAAATATGAAGTATATCAAAGAATATAGAATATTATTGAAATAAAGCTAGTAATAAAGACCTTAATTGCTGATCCGGCAATGATCAGCTCTAATTTTATATAAAAAATTGGAAGACAATCCTTTAAGAAATCACATTAGTACCCCAAAACTTAAAGAGAATAGGGTACAAAAAATTAAAAACACTCATATTTTGATAGTACGAAATTATAGCACAAAACTCAATATTTAATACTATATAAAAAAAGGTTAGGTTTGTCTTGTTATTAGGCATATTTAATATAGACAGATCGTAAATTTATTATGACCAAATCAAGTAAGACTATTAGCAATTTCTTCCAGATTATAATGCGTATATTACTCAACTTATATAACTTTACTGATTCTTGCTTCAATATTTATCTGAGCATTAAAAAATCAGAGAAATCAGACTAGCATAGCTAGCCTAATACACGTTTTGTACCTCTGTGTTGCATCCTCTTGAATTAATATTAATGCACTACTACTTCAACTTGTTCGGTTTGATCTTTAGAACTAATTAGCTTCTCATATATATAAATATATATATTTTTTCTTTGTAGTTTTACTTATGGCAAAAATATTGTCCTTGTTTTTAACAATATGTTCAAGCATACATTGAAAAGAGACAAATCTTCGAAAATATTTGTTAGTTAGTAAGAGGAATTTTTTTTTATTGATTATTGAGTTAAAACCAGATATTTCATAACTTTAAAACTAAATTCTTTATATAGTAAAACCTCTATAAGTACACGTATTTAGGACAAAGCTTTAACAACGTGCACTTAGAGATCAATAAGAGAAAATGTATTTATAGGGCATGTATATATTTGGGCCAGAACTTGGGCATGTATTTAGAGAAGGCACTCATAGAAGGTACACTTATTGAGTTTTTACTGTATTTTGTAATATATTTTCTGTTATCCTGACTTATAATAAAATTTTTTTTTTGAATTGGTTAGATGGGTTATATTTTCTTACCATATATTTTCTATACAGTTCTTTCTAGTATAAGCCTGAGTTTAGAAAATTTATTATCAAAAAAATTAAAATCTTGTATTAGTAATAAATTGTATTCAAAGAATATAAGAATAAAAAAAGAACTTAGTTTATTTTAATTTTATTCATCGTATCATAAAATTTTTTTATTTTGGAGAGATTTTAATTGTGGCTATCATAACTATTATAACTAATAAGGTTTTAATTTCCTTCTCCTGATAGCAAAATCACTAAGCCAAATTTTGTAGTGAATAAATTTCTTTTTATAAATATTCGGGCCAATTCTTCGATAAACACTTTTCTATCAGTTGTATAAATTACTTTATTTGATCAAATTATATATAGTTCTTGAATTTTTTATTTTCAACAAGTTTTTTTGCATTTATTAGTTTTTCATTAAGGTTATAAGTATCTTTTAAATTATTGCTTTTCTGAATTATGTATAAAATCTAATAAGACCCCAATATGGCAAATTTATTATATATAAATTCCAATATTAACTGATATATATAAAAATGGATTAACTAGTAAAAAAAATAGGTTAGACATATTATTAATATGGGTCAGAAGTTCAATTATTTTTTTGAATTTATCATCGATTGATTAATACATAATTGGGTAACTAAAATTTCAAAACATCACAAATAAGTTTTTTGAAATACCAAATATCTATATTTATTTTTTCGTAATTCCAATTTTCACTTTAGTGAATTTTAATAATGAATCCGATTTTGTAATTGACTCATTATAATTAGCAAATATTATATATTCTTATATTTATTCTTTTAATCTCAATTTCATCTTTTCTATTTCAATTCTACAATTTTAGTTATGAATACCTTCATATTTTTTTTTTGACTTCAATTAGATTTAGATTGCAATTTGTATATGCTTCTTATATATAATGTCTAGTTTTTTAAATGTTCAAACTTCAGAGACCTAGATACTTTATCAAATGAAATACCATATACTCATACAGTATATTATGCAACAAAAATAACAGTAAATAAATCTGTTTAATTCTTACAAATCACTATCAATATTGTATTATAACTATTATTTATTACTATAAACCAACTACATCCAACAGTATAGGCTTCAAGAATCTTATAGTTGCTCATGAGTTGTTTGAAATTTAGGCACTTCAGTCTTCTTCAAAAATTGTAAAGCCATACTTTGTTTCACAGCTCAAGATGTTTTTTTAATCCAATTAGCTATAGTAAACACCTTGGGTACATCTTGGTATTCAATTTCTTCCTGTTGTACACGTCGTAATAATTCTATATATATCTCTGCTGCATTCATTTTTAATTTTGCATTGGTTACTCCAGAATGAAACATAACTCCTAATAATTCTTTTACTTTTTTAGTTAGTCACTTTACTAGATCTTTTTGATTAACTTTGAGATTTTCCTGTAGTGCCCAATCTAGAACAAATATCATGTGGCTAAAATAAAAATGTTATAAGATTATAAATGTTAAAAAAAAGTCAAATAGCAAAATTAATTATTGATTTTCTAATTTGGACTAGTAAAAGAGATAGTAAATATAACCTTCTAGATGGAGCATCTATATTTATATCTGTTATATTTTCTGAATTTATTAAATCTAAATCTTTGTCACTATTTACACTCTGTTAACACAATTTACATTTTTAGCTAGATATTAATGGAGTTAAATGGTATATAAAATAATAATAAGTCTTACATTTTCTTCTTGATTCATTAATTCTTTTTCACCTTCATCTAAGAAAATTTTATTATATATTTATAAGTTATGTTATATTCAAATATATAAAAATTTATACATAATATACCTTGAATAAAATTATGAAAAGTGGTCCAGATTTTTGCTAGCTGTGTATGTGCTGTTGAAGATAGATTGGTTTTTCGAAAAAATAATTTTTTGTAATTTTTTGCAATTATAGAAAGCTAAATTTATACAAAGGTCCAAATCTTGGTAAAGATCATACACAGATATATCTTGCATTATTATCAGTTTCGGGCTATGTAAATTTATGCCATGTTAAGATTCCCAAAAGTATGCCTAAATTTTTTTTTTCTGAATATAATTTGAATAAAAAAAACTATTTTTTAATAGTTTTGAAGCATATAATTGATAAATTTTTGTATTTTGTTTAAAAACTATGATTCTTAGTTAAAATTAAAAGTCTATATATTGAATATTTTAATTTTAACTATATACATAGTATTTGTGTAATTACAATCGTATATAATATTATCTAAATTACGATTTGGCTCAAGATAAGCTACATGTGTTTCTGATAAATTTTTATTGCGCTTTCTATATCTTCTTCCGATTTAATATCATAGTCTAACTTAACATATCTTTTTATCGAATATATAATCTAAAATATTAATATTTTAAATTATATTATATATAAATTTAAAATATAACTGAAATAAACCTATGCATGATGTGAGTCAATTATAGATTTGGCTTCTCCCACCTCAAAAAAAATCCATTTTCGAGGGTTAATATTATACTATTCTTTCCAATAGCTCATAATTAATATTAATTCTGTATTTTTATAATGTGAACTATTGTCTGATACTATTATTATCTATTGTGGTTTTGAATTAATAACTTCTATAACTGAATAGAGTGATGAAGCCGCAAACTATGCGTTTTGATGAGTATCATCTAACCAATAGTCAAATGCTTATATGTTTAATATTTTATCTAGATTTTTTGATATACAAGAACAGTATATAAGGTCCATCCTCATTTACCAAAAAATCTTCTTTGGTTTCATGTGCACTTTGAAGATTAATTCGCATTTTAAAATCAACAAGAATAAGTTCCCTATTATGATCTAAAGACTCAAGTTCAGCAGTTAGCTGTGTATTTAAATAAGTTTTGCATATATAATGAGCCATAAAGGCTACTAAATGATTTTGATAATTCATTAAAAATTCATGCTGCTTAATATCTAGCTTTTTTTGTAATTGATTAAAAAATTCAAAAAGATTTTTACATTCTTTGTATATATTAGGATGCAGATAGTTACAATTTCCAAATACATGTGCAAGACAATGACTAATATATGAATTGTAAATTGGAACACCTTGCTTGATTACTAAAAGAGTTTTTGCATAGTCTTTTCATAAATACTGTTGTAAATGTTCCATATTTTGAATTAATTCTTTCTATTTTTTAAATAATTAGTTTATATTAATAATATAAGTTAATTATAAATTAAATAAAACAAAAATAATACCCTGTTTGTCATATTCATTATATATTTATCAACTAATGATCTAATATCTTCAAATACTTTATAACCACATTCGTTACATGTATTACAAAGTTCACCTAAATTCTCTTTATATAAAAATTGTCTACCTTCTAAATGTATTATAAATGCAGTACGGTGCATTCCATTTGGAAACTCTTCATGAAACTTTTTCTACAAGCCTTTTTTTGTATTATGCAAATATACTACAAGTAAGCCAGTTGAAGTATCAGTTTTGTAACTACTTTGTGAAATATTATTTTTGTGTATAAAAAATTAATCAAATTGTATTAAATTTTCTTGAGAAAACCGAACATAATGAATAATTGGTTTGTGAAGTAGTGGTATACCATATCCATTAGTTATTGCATATTTTTGAGATTTATGAATTATATATCATCCAACCTTATTATTTTATAATAAATTAATATTTGTTAATATTTATTAATCATAATAATTTTAAAATTACAATTCTTACATTCAAATTAAATTCTAATTCAGAATATGTGAAATCATTCGCAATAATTGATAGTACTGTATTCCTCTGAAAATAAGTACCCCTTTTTTGTATTTAATGCTGGCTGTGATTGTCATAAAGCAGGCCAAAGTTAGCATAGTGCGGGCCAGGGTGCTTATTTTCGGGGAGTGCTTATTTTCAGAGAAATACGGTATATGTCATTTACCATCTTGATTTTTTTTATTGTTAGAAAGTGCATATTGAAAACATGTCCAAAACGTTTGTGTATTATTAGGTATATGTTTTGGAATTGGTGTTAAAAACCCTATTTTATATAATATTTGCATGGTTTCTTTATCTTTATTAGACAGATTAGCATATGTCCAAATCTGAAACTAATAAAATTTGTTATTACAATAATCTAAACAATTTAGTTTAAATAATAAAATTCAAA